CCCCTCCCCGCGGCGCGGGCCCGCCCCTCAGGTGTGCGCGGGCGGCGTGCAGCCGTGCAAACAGGGCAGGGGGTGAGTCGCGCGGGGCGGTGGTACACGGGGGGGTGTAGTTGTATCGGGCCGCTGTGAGGGGAGGGGTGAAAGCAGCAGCTGCTCACGCGCGGGGACTGTACAGGATCAGTCGTGCAAGAGGAACGCTTGTGCAATGGTTTAGTGGTGCAAGGGGATTCGCTGCAGAAGAGGGGTAATAGCGTGAGGAGGGGGGTAGTCGTGCAAAGCGTGAGTTGTGGCAAAGAGCGGTCGCACACAGAATTAGGCGTGCAAGAGGAGCAGGAGTGCAAAGGGCCAGTTGTGCGAGGGGGGCAATACAAAGGCATAGCCGTTGAGGGGAACAGTAGGGCAAAGGATTGGTCACGTGCGGGGGCAATGGTGCAAAGGGTAAGTGGCGCAAGAAAGGAGCCGCAGGGCAAAGGGTTATCTGTACGTGCGAGGGGGCAGCAGTTACCCGTGCAAGGGGAGACGCGTGGCCGTGGGCTGGGGCTTCTGCAGTCTGGGCTGCCAGGCCGTCTCGCACGTTACAGACCGCTCGTTAATTAGGGGCATGCCAAGAACCTTAACGCTTCTCTTTTCCACGCCCGCCGGAAAATAGAAGTAACTCTCGTTTCCATAAAAATGATCCGGTAAAACTCGTTTGGAGAGGTTGGGTTAATGATCTCCTGAAAACCCAGGGGCCAAATAGCCTGTGTAATAATTAGCAAAGCTGCGGTAGCCAGGATGCAACAAAGGCGCGGCGGCTAAAGACCTCACACCTGCTTTTTGGGGATCCAGCTCCTCTGAAACATGGAACATTTTTCCTTCCTCTTTGTGGTGTTGCGGTTTATGGGGTGTTTTTTATGAAGCGGCTCCCGCAGTCCCTGCCATCACACTCCTACTCCTCGGGAGCCAGAGGCCTGTGGAGCATGTAAAGGCCAAGCCATCCTTCCCTGGAGCACAGGCACGTCTGTTCTTGAAGCCCGTGTCTAGGTAAACACAGACATAAGAATGGCCCCAAAAAAACTTTTAGGAAAAGTTGCCATTCCTGCCCATTGTGGCGGTTTGCCTGCGACTGGTTCTTTCTGGGCAGAACGAATGCCCACACGGCCCAATTATAGGCTGGAAGACAGGCCAATTCAAGGACAGAGCACTATTTTCTTATTGCAATAAAAATATCGCCTACGATATGACAAGGAACGAGCTGGTGCTAATGTGTATCGTTGTCTGTTGGTGGATGGAGTCACAACAGCGTAGTCGCATGTCCTAGGATCCATATTGCAAACAGGGAATGAAAGATCTTCAGCTCACAGCAGAGGGGATTTGGGTTTGTTTTTTTTTTTTGATTCGGGGCGATCTGAGCTCTCTCCCCGATGCGACTGTGGCCACAGTACGTAGCACAGCCTGATGCTACGTGATGGCCAGGAGTTTGCTTCTGTTTGAATATTGCATAGCATTACAGCTGTCGTCTTGCAGTATTTCTTTGATCCCTGAATGCCTCCGTCTTGAGAGCGGGGAACCCAGGTCCTATTTCAGGACAGCCAGCGGGGTCCAACTTCCAGTGGATGTGACTTTCTGACTTCTAACTGCAATGGGGTGGCCGAGTGCAGCTACAGCCAACAGGAAGCAGTGGGGAAAGATGATGTGCTAATTGCTGCTGAAAGGCAGGGTAGGTCCTTCTGTGCTGGAAATGAACATACCCATGAATCAACGGTCCTGTTCGCTGGAGTTCAGAGATGCGCGGGGCACAAGCAGGCGCTTGGTGATATTTCATGTCTTCAAAAAATGAGCAGTCTACAAAGCAGGAAGCACATTAAAGTATTTAAGATGTGCTGCTTTGGCAGCGGCAAGGAAGCAGTGAAGGGAAACTGAAAGCGTGAGTCATCTGCTGGGCTTAAATGGTGCAGAAGGCCTGTGTGAGGCTCTCTGCAATGGAGTGAATTGCATCCGAAGTGAATAAAAGCTCACCCAGCAAACAGAATAGCAATTAATATTGCACACTGGTAAACAAGCTTAGAGGGAGCGCTGCGTGCGCCTTGTAAGCAGACTTCCTCATCTGGCTGTGCCACGGATCCATCGGCTGGCATTATGGATGGGCCTGATTGCCCCAAATCAGTTCTCTAGCAGCGGCTCCCATTAGGGAAGAATGCTGTTTATCAGAGTAGCAATTAAGTGGATTCTACTGCACCACGAACTAGGTGATTTATAGTCATTAAACATCAGTTTGAAAAAAAAAAATCCTGTAGTAGAGCTTTCCAAAAATAGGCAATTGATTCATTTCTTAAATTAAGAGCAAACAACCCACGTCGTCATGAAGACTCTCGGCGAGCAGAACAGCAGCATGGCGTGGCTAATGGAAATATCGGATCGGTGGCAATCCAATGTCCTGCTGGGGTTACAGCGAAAATAAATATCAGGTCTCTGGCAATGGAGACTCCTGCTGTTACATTTTTATTTCCTACAACAACAAAATAAATCTAAGAAAAACATTACCGCCAAAAAAAGAGAGAACGAGAAAGAGTTTTCATTATTTTCCAGAGATGAAAAGATTTAAACGTAAATTTATTACACAATCCGCTAGGTGGCACCTTCCAGCAGACTTCTGTTTCCTTAGGTAGCAGCCAAATTATCAAAGAAAACATTTAATTTAGAGAGTAGGTTCCAGCTTCTGAGCCTAAATACGTGTTCGGGCGGCTTGTACTTTCTTTTTAATTAGCTCCGCCAATTTGTCACCGGCTTATTTCCTTTCAGAAATGCTAATGTTTCTATTGTCCCTTCATATATTCAGAGGCTACAAAACCATGAATTCACTTTTCTTCTGTCTTTTGAGCTAAATGTATTCTCTGCCTCATCACTGAATCACCTCCAGTGGTGTGGGGAACAGTACTTGGCCCATTGCTGAATAATGCATCGCCACTAAAATTGTACAACAATAAAGAAAGATATACAGGACGCGGCACTTTCTCTATGAGATGAGTTACAAAACTACCCGGCCCCTGATTTAAGACTGCAGTACTATTCACCGGCTTGTACTTCTGCATACAACGTGCTCACTCCTTGGCTCGTACAAACACGATTTCCACGGGGATGTGGAAGAGCACACAGCCTTGCAGGTACACGCGCGCAGGATTGCAATCTGCTCTTGGCAGAACACATAAAAAAGACGTGACAGCACAAAGTTTGCAAGTTAAAACTAAAGTAGGAGCTGCCCCGTCTCATGTTCAAATTTAGGACCTGGAGTCTGCTTGCTATATTCAGTGTTTGTTTCGTAAGCTGACTTCGGAGGAGTTGCACCGGTTTCAGCAGAGAGCAGGATTTATCCCGAGCCGCGTGTAAATCAATGTTGTGGTTGCTTTCTGGATCACTACATCATTTAAGAAGTTTTGCTGAAGATAGACAGACTGCTGCCTGTTGGCAAAGATGCTGAAAATGAATATTCCTCTCTTTAAACTTAGACCTGAAGTCCAAACCACCCACTCTACTCATGCTGTAAGGAAACCCCAGAGTGGTTCCTGCTGTCCCACCAACCTCAGACAAGCCACATAGGAGTTACACGGGCATAAATGAGAATTGAATTTGGCCCTCCCGGTTATTCGTGCATTGCTTTATGTGGACGGCAGCGATTCTTACACGCGATTTGGTGGGGTACGAGCTTTGGGCAGCATAAAGGCATAAGTGTTATTAGCCTCTTCACATCGCTAACAGGGCAGGCACAAAGGGCCTGACCCCTGTTGGCATCACTCTGCTGAAATAAATGGCCTGATGCACGCCACCAAGAGATCTGCCCAGAAAAGCAGGTTTGAAAAGCAGCTCCTACCTCTGACTCCTGCTGGGAGAAGGCTTTTCGACCTCTGCTGACATCCCTCCCACCTGGTCACAGGTGTCAGTCCAGAGCCCAGGAGCCCTGGCCCGCTGCACATTTCCGCGCTCCAGACAGCTCCGGGGTCACTCCTAGCCCTGCCTGGGCCTCACCAGGTCAGCTTGTTGTTCCCACCTCTCCACCCTTCATCCCACCCACAAAGGCCTGGATGCGGAGGGTCTATGCAATCAAGGAGGTGTTATTTCCAGAACGAGGGACCCTGTGTTCAAGGCATAGAAGGGAGCACCCCCCAAAGAAGGTCATTTCTTTCTGGATCACCCAGAAAGAAGGAAAAACCCTCCAAAGAAGGCCATTTCTTCCCTTGCCGCTTCCCCAGAATTTAATGGCAGGTTTAGAGGGTGGAAGAAATGCTGCACTCAAATTTTTGACTTGTTGCTTGCAACTCTGGCAGGATTCATTGCTTACATGTGGAACAAAAATGGATTTTGATTTCGGGCTAGGAGGAAAGCACGCAGGTGTCAAATCCTTGACGGGTAATGCAATCCGTGTCTCTAGCTGAGGCATGCTAGTGGAAAACATCTGTCTTCTGCTGCTCTCCCACCTTGGGTCATCTGGGTTGGGCAGGCTTTACAAGACAGTGCTCTGAGATCCCCAGTGAAAGGTGCTGTGGGAACAGCCTCGTTAAGAGACGTTAAGTCAATGATGGTG